CCATACAGATCTTCCATCAAGGGGTAGTTAAATTTGCTGTTTCCACCTGAATTCCTGGTTGTGCAGTGAAGGGGGGGTTGAGTACAGGTGCTGCAGAATTTGTGGGCTACCAAATCAGGATTTGCAAGCACATCCAGAGAGATACTAGGGGCTATGAGCCTGTGTGTGAATTCTTGATGGCTGAGGGACAATACTTGTGCTCGCCACCGCACCAGCTTGTACAGCACTTATGGGACTCGCCACGTCACCAAGTCACACTGCAGTGCTAATATGTGAGAGAACAGGATGTACTAGGCTGCTGGTGCTCGCCAGTTCACCAAAAGTTAGCGTGGCACTAGTACTGACACTCTGCTGCATATGAGAGTCATCAAAATTTACCAGCAAGTGCTAACAGAGATCAGGCCTGATTCTGCGAACACTGCGGTTTTGTGTGCAATGTATCAAGCGGCAGTGACCTACTGACACTGCACTTGCTGGTGGAGAAGGGGGGGGTAGGCGTAGGGGTTAAACGCAATGTTGAGAAAATACCACCAAAAGAAAGCAAAAATTTAATTTGGGTACAATGTTGCATGCCTAAGCAATTGGCATTCAAAGCGTGACAGCTCTGAAAGTTGAAATTTGGCCTGGGCAAGAAGTGGATGAAAGTGACGGGTATTGAAGTGGTTAAAGAGGTCAAGACAAAGAACAGAGGACCCATCCTAACCAGTGTCGTTTATGGGGGTAGGGCTACAGTTATACCATGAAATAAGAATTTTAACAATGATAACTAGACCACTATGGATTATCAATTAAGATAGCACAATGGTAGTGGTCTCTTTTCAAATATTCAGTCTCTGATTGACACATCTGGCTGGAGGACATCCAGCATCATCTGTACTATCTCTGGCACACCCCTTTAATTCAGTGTATTTCAGTTATGGCATAACCTAGGGCAGTCTGCATGCAAGGGCTGTTTTTGTTGACATCTATCCATCAAGATTTCAATATTTTCAGAACTCCTCCCAAGAGCCAACCCACTGCTTGCATTGTGTATGAGGGCTCTCAAGAGCTGAGGCAAGGTGTTTTGATGTTTTCAGCCAGCCATGTACAGCACTTTGTTAACCCCTCCCAACAAACAATCTGCCCACATTACATAGAGAAGCACAGAGACCAAAGTGATGACATACATTTGTACAATAAAATAAACTGAATTATTGTTAGTGTGTGTGTGTGTGTGGGGGGCGGGTTGAAGGGGGGACCAGGAAAGACATAATATAAAAAGAAATACATTTCAGCTTTAGAAAAAATGTATCACAAGAAACGGTTTCAGTACTGATCATTAATTAATCTTTTGTGCCTTGAATCTTACTATAATATCCAGCATATTTATTACACAAGTAGTTATTGTTTTTGACCCACAAAAATATAATTGTTCTTAACTGTGGCTAACATGGTAACTCCCTTCAAATTAAACTAAAATATTTTCCCGACACAGTCTAATCAAATAAAACATTATGTGGACTCTCATATTACGCTTCTGGTAATACAACTAGGAGATGTGATCAGCCTAAATCTTTTATTTGCATCCACTGTTGTATATTTTTTCATTAATAAAATAAATATTTTAGGTATTTTAAAGCTGAATTCCGGGATAAGAAAATATTGCCTAAATTCAAGAGACGTGTATTCTTGGTGTGGTGTATCTTGGTGTGCTTTTTTTGCATTTCTTGCAGATTTGTGCAGTAATTGACTGTTCAGCTTTGCCCCTGTGCAGGAATGTCCTGTAATAAAGACCAAACACAGCTGCTCTCTGCCCTTGTGCAGGGTGACTGGTCTTGTATTCACCCCACCCTGTAGTTTTCTGCAGGCAGCCTGTAGTGGGTACAGCCTGCTGGGCCATTTCCACAGCTCTGCTCTCTGCACAGGCTATGTACAGTTTTTCGCAAGAAAATAACTGGGTTTGCAAAGGTATTCAAAGCACACAAAGGGAATATAGTTGACAGGAAAATAAATAAAGGAAAGTTTCTTGTGCTTAGTGTTCAGATTTAAAACATATCCAAATCCCCAAACAAAATTGCAATATGTAGCCACTGTTTTTTTCCCCATTTAATTTTATCTGGAAATCCTGTGAATAATATACCTCCTGTCCTTTATTGGCCGTGCTCACTCACTCCACTGTATCTATGGAGGGAGCCATGGTTGTCAAACTTGCTGGACTATCCCTGACCCTCTTCATTACATAATGGGATGGGGTGAATGAGAAAATCAGCAATTTACCAAAGAATTATAAGATTGTGCTTTCAGCTCGGCTTACAGAAAGTGACAAGATCACTGCATTTCTGGGAAAAACAACAGTTATTGTCTGTAGGTTGCTTACCCTTAAAGTGAAAACTAATCTGGTCAATACATCTAAGGACTGGTAAGCTGCAAGATATTACATTTTTGTTCTTGGGTTTACATATCCTTTAAAAAGGAAGCTAAAATGTAAGAATATAAAACAAGCAACAAAAGCCAATTCCTCTATGCATGGGATATAAGGTAAAACAGATAATACAAAATATTGTTAATAGAAATAGAAAATTGCCTTAGGAAATTTTGTAAATGTGACCAGTTGCCTAGATACTAGCGGAATAATTTTATATACTGTGCATTATAGTAGTATATTTTTATTCTTTTTTTTACTGCAACTTTATGCCAGCATACAGATTAGGAAAATGTTTGCAAGTAATGCGCAATGTCTTAAACCGTGCTGTATGTATTATATATAAAATTCAGTACAGTATAAAGACATGCAAACATTTTCCTAATAGAACAAGCATAGTATTATAACCGTGATAATATAATGGACCCAAAACAATAAAGAGGGAGGAAAGGGTTCGACTAACGCCTTGTGCACACTGGATGTTAAGCCCCAGTGCCTGAGATCCTGGCATTTTGGCACAGGTGGAAGGCATAGATGCATTGTCCTGCACCACTGTCAGCAGCCTGTAAAACTCTGTAAGAAGCTGAACGCTGAAATACTGCTACAGGGCGGCATGGGTGCTCAAAATCATGTATATATACATAATTCGCGGTCACGTCTGTCAATCACCTGGTCCCGGATGATTGCCAAGCATCTCCGATGGGGAGGAGAACTGTTTGTAAACAAAACAGATCTCCTCCCTGTCAACTTGTGCACACTGCTTTGGATGGCTGTGCAGAGCATAGCCATCCAAAGCAGTGTGCTTACAGGGAAGCACATGGACACAGCACATAGTGAAACAACACATAGCTAACCCTTTGATCCCCCCATGTTAACCCCTTCCTGCCCAGTGCCATTACTACAGTGTCAGTGCTTTTTTTTTAAGCATTGATCACTGTATTGGTGTCAATGTGGATGTCAGTGACACCAAGTCAGTCCCCCCCCCCAGTGTCAGAATGTCTGCAGTCCTGCTCTATGTCGCTGATCACTGCCATTACTAGTAAAAATTTTAAAAAAAATCCCAGTATATATGTTGCTATTTGTAAACGCTATAACTTTCACGTAAACCAATTAATTTGCACGTATTGGTATTTTTTTTTTTAGCAAAGACATGTAGCAGAATACATTTTGGCCTAAATTTATGACGAAATGAGATTTTTAAAAACTTTTTTAATGGACATGTTTAATAGCAAAAAGTCAAAAATATTGTTGTTTCTCAAAATTCTCAGTCTTTTTTGTAGTGCAAAAAATAACCGCACAGGCAATCAAATACCACCGAAAGAAAGCTCAATTTTAGGAACAAAAAAAAAGCGTTGCATGACCGCGCAATTGTCAAAGTAACGCAAAAAATGGACTGGTCAGGATGGGGGGAGAGGTAAATCCTCTTGAAGGCAAGTGGTTAAAGGGGTGCATGCACAGTGTATCAAAAGAACAGGTCTTGCAACACAACATGGGGCCTGAGTTAGAGGAAGATGCAATACATGGTTCTAACACACTATGCTATCCAAAGGAAGCTAATATGCTGTTAAGAATTACAATGTTTATGTCACATGCAAGGCACCCAATGAGCCAGAAGACAGGTGACATGGCATAGGTGCTGGTCATTCTGGTAGTGGAGAGGCTTAAGTGCTTGGCAACTCCACTAGCAGCTGGTTCCCCACTCTGAGTCCAGACCCGCGTTACAGAATGCCTAAGCACCCAGCCTGGAGTCACGTGCAAAATGAATGAGGTACCTCAGGGGAATAACAGCAAGCATGGTGGTTGGAGAAGGAAAAAGAGTATTGTCTGTATCCCATAGCAACCATGGGATTGGGAAAAGGGAGAGAGGTGGCACTAATGCTGGATTGATGGAGGCCAGTACATTCTCAGCGGTACCGGTCCATAAATGCTGCACACCTGGTAGTGGTGGCCTCTAAGAAGGAGTGTTCTATTCTCATCAGTATAACAAGGTCAGACACTGAATACAGTGAGCCAACAGTGTCATCGTAGCTCACTTCTAAGTTTGGTAGACCTGCTCTAATGCCGACTGTCACTTGACTGCAGCTCTCTGCCTTGGGTCTAGGTATTAGGGAGTGCAGTTCCAGTTGTCCCCACTAGGGCGCCCAAGCACTGCCCACAAGTGCAAAAAAATTGTTATAATTCAGAGCTGTCCTATGTCCTCTACACGATTCCTCTGTTCTCAAACAGCCCTCCTATTTGTTACTTTGGATTACAAATGATTAGCCTTCATGTTCAGATATAGTGGGAGTGGGGGAGTATTTTACCAAAATACATGAGAGATCTAACACCATTCAGTCACAACAGGACTTAATAGCTTTGTAACTTGGTAACTAAGTAGAGTGCAATTCTGGCAGTTCAACAAGTGTCTTTGTACTCGCTAGGTATTTAAAATGATAAAACTCAGATGTACTGCATATGCATTTTTTTATTTTGTCTCGACCATACCCTTTAAATTAACTTGTACTTTAACATTTCTGAGTTGTGTTGCTGTATGTGATGTAGACTGCATTAAAGAAATATTATGCGTTTTTGAAGAGTATAACAAAAAAACATTGCTTACTTGATTTTGAAAGGCAGCACTAAAGGCAACAGGAAATTTCAAGGGTATCAGTGCTATGCCTCGTTTTATCCAAGGATTCCCTATGTTGAACTGTTTTATATCTTCCCTCCTGGTGTGGTATGCTGAACGTTCCATACAACTCTCCCAGCATCTTGTCAGATTGGTAGTATCAAACACCTGCTTGTAAGGGGTTGTAATGACTTTCCTGTACATGTTCAGCTCTCTGACCTAAAATATAGAGAAAAGGCTGTATATTAAAAATAAAAACTATGATATTGAAAAAAAAAATAGACACACCTTAAAGCGGTAGTAAACCGCAGATTGAAGAAAAAAAAAAAAAAAGTTCCCTGCAAGGTAATGTCAATGTGCTAGTATGCATTGGATACTAGCATATTATGTAAAACAACTTAAAACAAAGCCCTTCAGAGGTGCGCTGTCACTGCTGTAGAGGATTCCACCTTCACCTTCCTTCTGGGTTCATGAGCTCCGGCCTTCCGACAAGCCGGACCGCAATGACGCCACTCCTGCGCATATGCGTGGGAGTCCTAGGCTACGGCACACAGCTCTGAAGTAATGTCATGGGTTAGCCGTTCGATCAGAGCGCATGCACCTGATTAAATGGAGAGAATGTCTCCTAAACTGTGTACGTTTAGGAAATATTCATTTTACCTACAGGTAAGCTTTATTGTAAGAATTTAAAGTGGTTGTAAACGGTTTTTTAATTTTATTTTTTTTTAAACAGAACTCAACAAATCCAGGATCCAGTCTAGGAGTGGACATTTAGGTCCTTCTCAAGTATTGTAGTTATTTACTGTGCTTGCAACACTGCCAATGAGCTTCTTAAAGTGGTTCTCTATTCAAAACAAGATAAAAGGTTTTGTTTGAAGTGGGAAAGGAAAACTCCTGTCAGGTTTTTATTTCTGTTGTCTTTCCTATGGGCAGATCTTTCCTTACCTCCCCACTAGGCAATCTTCCCAAAGGAAGAAAGGAAAAGATCACCTTTCACAGTCAGAGAAAACTTGTCTACCTTTGGCAATTTTGTTTTTCTTGTTTGAGAGAGGACTCTAAATGATCAGTTTTGCCTTCACTACCAACTTAATTGACAGCAGTCACCAACAAAGGAATCTCACCAGTGACACAGACAGCGGGAGTGTCAAGATCTGCATCTGCATCTGAACCTGCAAACTCTTCTTGCTGAGCCACCTGAGATGCTGGCCAGCTACCTGGATAATTCCTTTGACAATCTTTCCTTCAACCTTGTTTCTGGTAAACCTTGAACTCTTTTCTCTTCCCATAAAATTTCACATTTAAGCTATGCCTTTGTACTTCTGGTTTGCCAGATTATCGTGCTCTAGCCAACATCTTGCTCTTGTCACCCTGCTGCATGTTTGCTACGATTCCTTACTGATCTTTTGCTTGTTCTTCAAATACACCTCTGCTTCATTCCAACCTGCAACCTCTAGTTACCAACCTTTGGCTTGTTCCTTGACTATGCTTCTGCTTGATTCCAACCCGTAACCACTTTTTGTATGTTTGGGATACCTCCAGTGTTACCAAAATTACATGTGTTCTGATTTGCGGTACGTTTTCAATTATTGACATGTACATTCATTTTGGTGCAATGTGGAGCATTGTTAGTCCATTATATGTGGTGAGCCATAAATTGTGCCTCACTGAGATGGCATATTACTCGCAGGGGAGTGCAGACCATATTCCTGAGCAAATTTATTGCAAACTGACCCCTAGTTGTATCAGCATTGTGTATTCCTTTTTATGTTCACTCATAACCCTAGACATTGGTGTGTATTGCTAGCACAGCACAGTAGGCTGAATTACTCTCCTTAGATGTATATTTGTAATTTATTAAAATGTATCAGTTTACACACACCAACTTTTATCTCAACGCAAGTATTAGCTCTCAATTAACTGTTTTTATGGTACTAATATATTCGTTGCAACAAAACGCTGCTGCACACACTCTTTACATGCTTTTTTATTTACAAGCAGCTTTGATCTTTTCCCAACTAGTGGATACTATGTCAGTCCTCTGTAATTATTCAGCATAGTTATGCATCTCCCAGTGGCACATTAAGAAAGAAGAGCTATTTCAGGTATGCCCTGTTAGCTGGAACGCAAATCACCGGAAGTTCTCTTCCTCACTGACGCACAGACCGAGCTCGCCAGCACACTTCCAAACAGCACAAGAGACAGATAACAGTTGTTTAAAGGCAACCTGAACCTCTATCTACAAGTCACAGTTTAGTTAAAAAACAATAAGTTTTAATAAATCACAAATATTAACTTTATTCCCAATACAAATGTATTTATATGCAACTCTAACTTTTCATTTGTACAACACACACTTCCATGGCCACAGGTGTGTAAAATCAAGCACCTAGGCATGTAGACTGCTTCTACAAACATTTGTGAAAGACTGGGTCGCTTTCAGGAGCTCGGTGAATTCAAAGTGTGGTACTGTGATAGGTTGCCACCTGTGCATCCATGAAATTTCCTTATTAATACTGTTGGTGGTATTATAACAAACAAGAAGCAACTGGGAACAACAGCAACTTAGCCAGACAGAGCGGGGTCAGTGCATGCTGAAGCGCACAAGTCACCAACTGTCTGCAGTCAATAACCCTCAGATTAGCATAACAGTGCATAGAGCGCTTCATGGAATGGGTTTCCATGGCTGGGCAGCTGCATCCAAGCCTTACATCACCAAGTGCGATGCAAAGCGTTGGATGCAGTGGTGTAAAGCACGCCGCCACTGGACTCTAGAGCAATGGAGACCTGTTCTCTGGCGTGACAAATCACACTTCTCTGTCTGGCAATCCCATGGACATGTCTGGGTTTGGCAGTTACCAGGAGAACGGTACTTGCCTGACTGCATATGACCAAATTTAAAGTTTGGCGGAGGGGGGATTATGGTGTAGCCTTGTTTTTCAGGGTTGGGCTTGGCCCCATCCTGAGGAAGTGGACATATAGTGCCATGAAATGCGTTGACAGTGTTTTATATTATTCTGTGAGCAATAAATATTGAATCAATGAAGAATCCATTTTTCAGCTTCTCCTTCATATTTGGGCGCCTCTGCTGACACCAGTTTTTCATCTTTCGGGATAAATATCTTATCCTGCAACCACTTTTTATCAATCTTTGGCTTGTACCTCGACTATGCTTCTTCTTGATCACAACTTGTAACCACTTGTTACCGAATTTTGACTTGTTTACCGACTATGCTTCTGTTTGATCCCCTCCTGGTGGGGAGTGTCACGATCGCAAGATCGCCGCCACCAACATGCGACAATCTCACGACCGCGCGACTAATATGTCACGATCGCAGCGTCAGACCCCAGACCTTCTCACTAAACTTGTGACCGAAGGACCGGCCGGTCCAGACCACGCGATGTGACGTGCGTAACAATGCCACACCCAGCTGCACCCTACACAGCGTTTTTCCAGGTAATGGTTTTCAATCTGTGCCTGCAGCCTAAATGCGCTTGTTACTGGGTCAAGTTAATTACGCAACTGACCCTTACACTGCCACCACCCCTTTTTGTACAGAGAAAGGGGAAACTCTTTATCAAATATACACTGTAATGGTAGAAAAGCCGTCTGTCCAATACGGTCACTGCAGGCCGATTGGGCAGAGGATTAGACAAGCACAGTGGTGTCTCTTTAGAGGCAGGAATTCGTAAATTGCAATTTAGCGCTTTAGAAACAGTTTAATACTTTCAGAAAGAAAGATTTATTACTAAAAGAGTCAAACAGGTGCAATAAAATATTTACAGAAAAAGATGTAGCTAAGATATAGATATATATATATATATATATATATATATACACACAAGTATATGTTGCGCTCCTAAATACTTCTCAATGAATACTAATTCAATTATTACCATTAAATTAATTCAAGTTATGATACAAATAACTAATAAAAAAGTGTATAAATACCAAAAAATATTTAAATAGATAATTTCAACTAATCAATCTCCTCCAAATAAATATCAAAATAATTCCACATGAAATACTCCTCAAAAAATATATTTTACCAAGTGCTCATAAATCATCTATTAGTGACATGATGTACTTACTAATACCCTCAATTTCATTTATATTCATAATACCCTCATTTAATATAATAAAAATAGTAAACCAACTAATAACACTCAACTAAAACGCATTTAAATGATCCCCCATAAATAAAGATAACCAAATTCTCATAAATAATTAGTAGTGATTAGTGTGAATCCAAATATCATCAAAATAATAGTCCCATTGAATTAACAATTGTTTATATATAGTGACTTGGTGCTTGTTGTTCTTCAATTTGTGACTTTTGTGAATCCTTCAAATAGTGAAGATGTGCGCTCACCTCCTTTGTGTATGAGTGTATGACTCAGAGGCCAGCAGAGGCTTTCCAATGGGATATTGCATTATTTAAACCTGTCTAATGTGAGTTTAATACTTGGATGGTGGGAATAAAAAGTTTTAAAAGGTAAAGCACTATGTCCTCTATTTCTTCCTGCATGTGGAGTAACACAAGGAGAGGATAATTAGGAGGTCTGAGATAACAAAAGGAGTGTGCAATCCCTGAGGGGATATTCAGCCACCAGAGGATACATCCATTACTCCTAAAGGAAGGATCTCCCTATTTCACCAGCAAAAGTATATGTCCAGCAGGTTCCAGGGAAAGTGAACCGAAAGCGTGTATAGCCTAATTGCAGGCATCAAAGGAGGTGAGCGCACATCTTCACTATTTGAAGGATTCACAAAAGTCACAAATTGAAGAACAACAAGCACCAAGTCACTATATATAAACAATTGTTTATTCAATGGGACTATTATTTTGATGATATTTGGATTCACACTAATCACTACTAATTATTTATGAGCATTTGGTTATCTTTATTTATGGGGGATCATTTAAATGCGTTTTAGTTGAGTGTTATTAGTTGGTTTACTATTTTTATTATATTAAATGAGGGTATTATGAATATAAATGAAATTGAGGGTATTAGTAAGTACATCATGTCACTAATAGATGATTTATGAGCACTTGGTAAAATATTTTTTTTGAGGAGTATTTCATGTGGAATTATTTTGAGATTTATTTGGAGGAGATTGATTAGTTGAAATTATCTATTTAAATATTTTTTGGTATTTATACACTTTTATTTGTTATTTGTATCATAACTTGAATTAATTTAATGGTAATAATTGAATTAGTATTCATTGAGAAGTATTTAGGAGCGCAACATATATTTGTAGATATTTCCAACACAGTTGTAGTTATGTGTTTCATGTTTGCGATCCTCTAGTTATTATCACACCTGTGGCTCGCAAGTCACTCTGATTCATCTATACCTGTTTAAGATATATATACAGTCAGGTCCATAAATATTGGGACATGGACACAATTCTAACATTTTTGGCTCTATACACCACCACAATGGATTTGAAATGAAATGAACAAGATGTGCTTTAACTGCAAACTGTCAGCTTTAATTTGAGGGTATTTACATCCAAATCAGGTGAACGGTGTAGGAATTACAACAGTTTGCATATGTGCCTCCCACTTGTTAAGAGACCAAAAGTAATGGGACAGAATAATAATCATAAATCAAACTTTCACTTTTTAATACTTGGTTGCAAATCCTTTGCAGTCAATTACAGCCTGAAGTGTGGAACGCATAGACATCACCAGATGTTGAGTTTCATCCCTGGTGATGCTCTGCCAGGCCTCTATTGCAACTGGGTTCAGTTCCTGCTTGTTCTTGGGGCATTTTCCCTTCAGGTTTGTCTTCAGCAAGTGAAATGCATGCTCAATCGGATTCAGGTCAGGTGATTGACTTGGCCATTGCATAACATTCAACTTCTTTCCCTTAAAAAACTCTTTGGTTGCTTTTGCAGTCTGCTTTGGGTCATTGTCCATCTGCACTGTGAGGCTTCGTCCAATGAGTTGTGAAGCATTTGGCTGAATATGAGCAGATAATATTGCCCGAAACACTTCAGAATTCATCCTGCTGCTTTTGTCAGCAGTCACATCATCAATAAATACAAGAGAAGCAGTTCCATTGGCAGCCATACATGCCCACGCCATGACACTAACACCACCATGCTTCACTGATGAGGTGGTATACTTAGGATCATGAGCAGTTCCTTTCCTTCTCCATATTCTTCTCTTCCCATCACTCTGGTACAAGTTGATCTTGGTCTCATCTGTCCATAGGATGTTGTTCCAGAACTGTGAAGGCTTTTTTAGATGTCGTTTGGCAAACTCTAATCTGGCCTTCCTGTTTTTGAGGCTCACCAATGGTTTACATCTTGTGGTGAACCCTCTGTATTCACTCTGGTGAAGTCTTTCTTGATTGTTGACTTTGACACACATACACCTACCTCCTGGAGAGTGTTCTTGATCTGGCCAACTGTTGTGAAGGGTGTTTTCTTCACCAGGGAAAGAATTCTTCGCTCATCCACCACAGTTGTTTTCTGTGGTCTTCCGGTTCTTTTGGTGTTGCTGAGCTCACCGGTGCATTCCTTCTTTTTAAGGATGTTCCAAACAGTTGTTTTGGCCACGCCTAATGTTTTTGCTATCTCTCTGATGGGTTTGTTTTGTTTTTTCAGCCTAATGATGGCTTGCTTCACTGATAGTGACAGCTCTTTGGATCTCATCTTGAGAGTTGACAGCAACAGATTCCAAATGCAAATAGCACACTTGAAATTAACTCTGGACCTTTTATCTGCTCATTGTAATTGGGATAATGAGGGAATAACACACACCTGGCCATGGAACAGCTGAGAAGCCAATTGTCCCATTACTTTTGGCCCCTTAACAAGTGGGAGGCACATATGCAAACTGTTGTAATTCCTACACCGTTCACCTGATTTGGATGTAAATACCCTCGAATTAAAGCTGACAGTCTGCAATTAAAGCACATCTTGTTTGTTTCATTTCAAATCCATTGTGGTGGTGTATAGAGCCAAAAATGTTAGAATTCTGTTGATGTACCATTTATGGACCTGACTGTATATATACACACACAAAGAACCATAGCACAGCAAAGAGATATCAGAGAGGAAGTTAAAGGGTTAAGTTACTTGCCAAATAAGCCTTAGCCCTAAGCAGATCCAAGTTTCAGAGCAAAGGGTCTCCCCGGGTGGTATATTGATGTTACAATTGGGAGATGTCTTCAACTTCACTTTTTAGGCCTGCTAGCCTGTGTTTTAAAGTCCCCCAGCAGGGGGGTGGCTCTGAGTAACTGACCAATACTCTGTTTAGGGAGGGATCGTCGGGCGGACTCTGAATTAGAACCAACATCTTCATAATCCAGATATGAAATATAGGGGAAAAAAACTAACCTGAGGAATGCTCATTTAATTCTGTCACCTAAGCTGCTAGGTCTTATGAGGTTACAATCTCCTCAACTCCTGGGAAAAGCTGCCTTATCTCGGTTACGAAGTGAGAAATTACACATGTCCTTGGGCAGCTAGTCTCTGTCTCTCTTGGGGGGCTTTGTAGCTCTGGGCCCTCTGCTGCTCTACTTGCCAGTGACACTTTTCACAAACACACATCTGTCACTGTGCCTCTCAGGAAGGGAGGGGGAAGGAGAATGAGAAATGAGAGACACAATATATACTCCGTACCAAGATGGAGGTGCCTACAAAATGGTTGAACTGCGTACTTCACTGTGTTTTGCGCAGTTTTTGCGACAGGGAGATCCTGAAGACTGCGACCTTGTACTAACATGCAGCAAAACCCATCTCTACCATCAGGAGCACTGGTGAATAGCTGTTAGTGCTTAGACCACACACCTCAAGTGAGCCGTGTCATCTGTCAGGGTGACTAGCTTGAATACTCATCCTACTGGTCAGTGGGAGCCTTTCTACTGCTATAGCTACTGATCTCCGAGCCTGAACTCGGATCGACCTAATAAACAGCTAATTCTACATTTGAATGGAATTCTAATTACAGGCACAAAAAAACTATTGACCAATACAATGTGACACGTACATGCAAACATCACTTACCTGATGAGCTGGTAAATTGCACTTGGAAGCAACTTCATCAATCCATACTTCTGTGATGAGAGCACACTGTGGAAACCCGAATCCTCTAAATGATAAATTGGATGGCAGATTGGTCTTGCATACTTTTCCATAGCATTTCAGATTAGGGGTATAGTAAGAAACATCTGTCTGAAGCACTGACATCTCCATTATCTAAATAAAGAAATTACAAATATCATGCAGGCAATATATGTGTGTTAATAAACATGACATCAGTTCCATCAAAATGTAATACTAAAAAGGCAAAACTTTTTTTTATTTTGGATAGTTTAGGCGAGGGTTATGGCCCCTGTTACATTTATTTTTTGCTATGTGTGTCTTATTGAGGAGATTTTCTGTCACTTCATGTCCTGTAGCCAAAACAGGAACTGAGATTAAATCACTCCAAAGTGATGGAAGAGTTGGTTGTCACCAGAAATAGTGTCCCCATTGGAAAGATTTTCCCTCTATTCCTGTTCTGGTGACAACCCAATTTTAATTTTCAGTGATATTGGTGAACATGACAAGTAGGGTGAATCTCCCTAATGGTGGCACATACAGCAATAAAAACCTGACAGATGTTCTAATACCTCTCCATTCTCATCACAAAAAAAAACAAAAACCTTTTGTTATATTTCAAGTATATGCACAATACAAGTTTGTCCCATCAGACGTAGACATTGATTAAAAATAGGAAGAGTTAAATTAAAATAGATTAGATATTTTTAAATGGTATAGTACATTTTCAGGAAACATTTTTACTCATTACAGTGTTTACTTTAAAACTGGACTTGAGGCAAACCGCTAAAGTCGGCCAAAGATGGATTGAATCTTGGCCAGTTCAGCAGGGACCAACCAGGATTTGATTTATCTATGGGTAGGCTGGTTATACTGAAGTCTATCCATCGATCGACCTCAGTACAATCAGCCTGTTGGATTTTTTGCATGTGATTACTGCTGACAACTATAGCAGCCAGCAGTGATCATTGTGTTCTGCCGGAAGGGAGGGGTCCTCACCAACAGGACACAATAGCACTGCGTGGGGATTCCCCCCTTCAACATTGACTGTGTTGATGGTGGAATCGAGGGATTTTCTTTCCTGCAACCCATGGCTGCAGGAAACAAAATGTAATAATTTATGGCTTGCTTAAGTATACAGGTAAAATGCATATATGTTTTAGGATTTGCATTCTGTCCATTAAGGCTTGATATTAACATAGATCTGCCACACAGGACAGCCAAGTTGGTTACCTCACTCATCTTTATTGCATTAAGCAAATACAGATTGGCCACCTCCTTGCTGCTGGACATAGAAAAAGCACCTAACAACACCATCCCTCTGCTCTTCCTGTCATCATGATCCTTGTGAACACATACACATGCAGCACACATGATTGGTTTCCAGTGCTTAAGTACAATATTCCCAATGCACACATTCCTGAAACTTGCTGTAGATGCAAGTGGGTGCTGCAGCAACCACCGGCTGGGAACTGAGAAAATCCAAAGCAAAACATATATGTCACCAGCACACCAAGGATCTCCATAATGGCTCCAAAGCTTTATTTAGCGATTGCATCATAGCTACAATGGTGACGTTTCAGAGCCCTGCAGGACCCCTTAATCATGCATTTGATTACCTGATGAAGGGGTCATGCGTGGCTTTGAAATGTTACCATTGTAACTTTAATGTAATTGCTATATAAATCTCTGATGTGCTGGTGACATTTTCCCTTCAGTTCTCAGTGCTGTCCCTTCTGTTAGTCTGAGTTTTACTGTAGAAGGGATTGCGAAAATGTATATAATATAGGTATACTAATCGCAATTAGTAAATAAGTAACAACAATAAGTAGTGTGTGTGAGATTGAGATAGATATATAGATTTTATATATATATATATATATATATATATATATATATATATATATAGATAGATAGATGTGCTGGTTGCTTTAAATTTTAAACAGCAGTTGCAAAGCTTTTTTTTTTTCTTTTCCTCTTTGTGAGTGACAGACAGGAAAAGCAGGACTGTGCTCTGATTGGTGGTTGCTACAGCTGAGAAGGATCCACCCATAGCAGCACTGTTGCAGCTGGACTTATGATTGGCTGTGGAGGAAGGGAGAGAGGAAAAAGGAAGAAGAAGCACATACGGAGAGGCAAACATTTTCAGGGGACCGCATGGAGCAAGGGCTCCTGGTGTGAAGTCACAGAGTCTCACTCTCTGTGCTGCTAGAGAAATTGTTGAGGAGGACAGTGTGCAAACTAAGGATTGTCCTGCCTGACACTCAGGATTACAGCCACTCAAGTGCATGTGTCTCTCAAAGTCTGGAGCTCCTAAAAGAGAGAGGATTTCTACTGCTGTCTATTGCTATCTAGAGGACAATCCAGAAACAGTGAGAACTCTGTGATGAAAAGGGATTTTGATATTGCTGCATTTGCTGTTCATCTCTGGAGAATGGTCATTAAAAAGGCTGCTCTCTAATTCTCAGAGTGACACAGATCTTGGAAAGCTCAAGCTGCTCAGAATTAGCTATTCCTGCTGCTGATTGATGAGAGAACTCTGTCTCTGTATATTAATGGTTTGTCTCCTCAAAACTTGTGCTGTGGCTGAAGAGTGTGTTTAGTTCCAAGTCCCCACAGAAGCTTGCTGTTTTAAATATACTGAGCAAGTGTTAGTACATGAGGATTCACCTGTATGGTAAAAGACTTTGTTGAAGTGTTTTCCTCTATTGCAATGTTCACTGGAAGATTCTGCTTAAAAGGAGACTGTGCTATCCTGCTACCCCTGGATTACAAATACTCTCCCATGCAGAGAGTGAGCACTCTTCCATTGATTAAGGGGCCCCAACGTTGACAGACTTTAAGTTTCATCCCACTGGCCAGTGGTTAGGTAGGATATTTCTGCTCTAGATAGTACTGCTATAGCAAATGTCAATAAGCTGCTTAACCTTATTAACAGGTATTGTTTCATGTGTCAATGTCACTCTCATGTGCCACCCTACTCAGTGTGATACTAGTCCGTTTTTGGAGTCTTTGGCAAGTGAATTGTGATTTCTTATTAACTGTGTTATGCAAAGTGGTATCTGTGTTTTATGTACATTACCTGTGTTAAATCAGCTAGTTCTTTTTCAGGGTTTGTCTTCTTCACTAAAACCCATAAAAAAATACTCTGTGTTGGAGTGTTCTGGGTATAATCGGAGGTGTCACCAGATTCAGGTGGGAGCTGAACCTATATATCTAGCCAAGCATCACCCAAGGGTGTGCCACACACACACACACACACACACACACACACACACAAATATAGATTTTATTATACACAGAGCGTTAGTTCAGCTTAATATAATTTTTATGGATCTTCCTCATTTGAAATACTGTATATGATGCTCCATATGTTTTTGTTGTATTAAACGTAGAGATTTGTAGAATAAGGACTAGTGACAGAGTAGATCCATTACTGCAGTCACCCTGTGTCACTCTTTAAAAACTGTTGGGATAATACAGCGATTGTATAGGACTGTACAAAGCCGAACCTGAGAATGTAATGAGCAAATATTTCTTAGCTGGAGTTACATGAGGAAGATGGCTCAAAACAGGTGTTAAAAAGTGTGTGCTACGTATTTATAATGCAAAATAAAAGGAATGCAGCAGCCGAGACATCTTTTGGCAAATAAACAGTTACTGTATATGTGCTGCAAATGTATAGTGTGCGGTTTGGCTGAAATTGTCCTTAAAATTGCCAGCAATTTAAAATATTATACAGAGGTGTAAAAGTGTTTAAGACTTACAACTACTGATTCTGTTCCCGAACATCCACCATTGCTGTATAAACCGACATCAGCTGCTACGATTCTGCCATCATTCATATATCCCACCTGAAAAACAATTCTGCATTAGTGTTTTCCTTTAAGTTACAACATTGTATTTTAAAGTGTTTCTTACTCCAAGTTTATTTCCTAAAAAATAAGAGTGGCTATACATAGTAATACAATTCAATTGTTTAATTCCACCATAGGTTAATTTTCTGGAGAGGATCATGCTGGTTAGGGTTTTCTTAGGAAGTGAGTAGTATGACCTCTTCAAACCATTGGTAGTGGTTTCCAAATATGTATGAAGTCTGTGCCCCATGAGAACTATTATGAAATTTAGAATAAAAATAGGATGATTTATATGAATAATGTTTCTATGCAGAACTCACCTTATATTTTCCAAGATAGGGGTGTCGTCCTCCAGTTATAAGCATATCTTCACCACGCTCTAGAATGCAGCGAACAGGATGCTTGATTCTAAATAGGAATGCAATGGATCTTTTAAGACAGCAGATATACTGTAGATGTTCTTAAGCATAGTAGAGCCTTGCATGCATTGCATATTCTTTCAATTGTTTAGTAAAGCAGTTGGTTCTGGAGCTGTGGTCCTTGCATTTTTACTTTATGGTGCAGAAGGTTTTGGCTTTGATACAGAGTAGGGATAGGTTTGGGTTTGCCACTACTATGGATTTTTGGTGAATCCCTGGTTAAAAAAAAAAACAAAAAAAAAAAAACTTGCATATTATAAAGTTTTGGTAAAAAAAAAAATTGCAAGTTCACAGCCAGAAACAAGGAACAACTTAAAATGTGAGAATAGCTGGCTGAGTCAAAAAGAGCCAATAATTTTAATGGATTCATGAATTATATAGAAAAGTAAGCTCACCGACGCCATGTTATCAGTGTGTGTGCTGGAACTGTTCGGGCATGCTGGAGAATGTGTGTTGGAACTGTTAAGGAAGAGTTTATTTTAAATTTTGTCAATTGTACGTCTCCTATGGCAGTGCCCAGCTTCCCATGCCTTCTGTCTGACAAAAGCTTGCTTATTAGCCCCTCAAATGGCTAAAATTGAATAAACAAGATTTGCCTATAGAATTTAATGGGGTTCACTGCAAAAGTGCAAGATTCGCTAAACTATTCACAAACCATAGTCAAGCAGATGAGTTCCATTAGGAAGGGTTCGGTTTAGGGTTACTGGGAGGCTTATTTTGAGAGTGAGTGTTTGGATTACAGGGAGGCTTAGTGTGAGAGTGAGTGTTGGGGGTAAGGGTGGGTTAGTGTAAGAGGTGTGGTGTGGATACAGGGAGAATAGAAGAACTACCAGAATGGAAAAGGGTAGAGAAGTTATGGTGATTGTTGGATTGGACAGCTATAGAAGTAAAACCCCAACTGGAGTTCTAATGCTCCCCCCCCCCCCCCCCCCCCCGCTACCCAAACAGGAAGAAAACAATTTTGGATTAACATACACTTTAATAATAGACAAATTATTCCTAGAGCACTATGGACTCTCTTAAGAAAGCACAAAAATTATAGTTGGGGGCCCTCTGGAGATGGAGATAGTGAGGGGATAAATCACCACTCTCACTCATTCACTTCTGTATTTAAATTTTAGTTTAAGTTATTTAACTCTGCCTTGAACAGACTTTTTTAATAAAAATAAATTGAAAAAGTTGGCTAAAGCTTCACCTTCTGGCTGCTTGTGAAAATACTGATTAAGTTGCATTTTTTATATAAATTGGGCTTAAAAAATATTTCTCAAAAATGTATTTATTGAACTACAACACATTTCCTAAACAGCCTGATTCTTGCTGAAGGGTAATATTGCTAATCTGAGTGAATGTAAATAAGTTTATGGCCATCCCACAGTACACACATGAAGTTAAAGGGCATTGTTCCAGAGCAGCCATCCAAAATCCACTTTACTGAAATTAGACCAGGTTCAAGGACCAGACACAAGCTATGAAATCTTAGTACTTCGCATAGGTATAGCATTTAAAGTGGTTCTAAAGCCTTAAGGTTTTTTTTTTTTTTTTACCTTAAATGCATTCTATGTATTAAAAGGTAAAAAACCTTTTGTGCCAGAGCATCTCCCCCAGCCCCTCGCCCCCTTATACTTATCCAAGCTTGATCATAATCCAGCAATGTGCACGAGAGCAGCGGCTCTCTGAGCACTCTCCCTCCTCACTAGGCACATTGTTAGCAGAGGGAGCCATTGGCTCTGCCAGCTGTCAATCAAATTGTATGATGGGTGAGCCAGGGATGGGTCCGAGCTGCACTATTTTTGTCTATACATGCAGACAGGGTGGCTAGGGAACGAGCCTGCATGAGTGCTCTCAGAAATTGGCTTTCTATGGTGGGTACTCCTAATAGAGGAGGATTGCTGGCGGTGGACCCAAGAAGAGGAGAATATGGGCCGCTCTGTGCAATACCAGTGCACAGAGCAGGAAAGTATGTTTATTACCGTACTTTAGTTTAAAAAATGAAGCTTTACTATCACTAACACATTGCACTTTGCAATACATTATTGATAAGCCATGGAAGTGGTGAGTATGCCATAATTCTGTATATGTTGTAAAGCAGACCTGTTTGGACTTTGAAGTAGGGATCCACAATCAATATTCAGGGTCAGCAAATTATTTGAATTGACTCACCATAACGGTGATAAGTGACACTTACTTTTTAGCCGCCACAGCTGCGATTGCCGCTATGTAGGCAGTTTTCACAATCTTTCCACCAAACGCTCCACCAATCCTTTTCACATGGCAACTGACGCGATTGGAGGGTATGCCTAAAGCTTTGGCCACCAGGCTCTATATAAAGAAAAATACATGCATGCATACCAAAAATTTTTTTTTTTCCAAAATGTTTTAGCTTGGGATATCTAGGGCAATTTAGGACTATTAATTCATATTTAAAATTGCAGTCAAAGACAAGGGACATTATTTAACTTAAGTAAAAGCAAATAATTTTATGGTAATATTTTAAAATGGAACTCCAGGCAGGTAGTCATATACACAGCTCAAATACTTACCGTATATATTTATATATTAAACTACAATGTTTTTATTTTTAGAACATGATTGTTAGATTATTTACTTTTAAAATATACTGTATCAAAGAAACCTTTTACCTTTTTAGATTTTTTTTTGTTACTCCCAGACATTGTCTCAATGTCCCATACACAAACACTCAATTAACCTACATTTGCACTGTGGGAAAACGCAATGTGAAAGTTAAACCTCATGCAGTCAAGATGAACCATCTGCACTGCAAAAGAAGCAGTACAATTACTCCTTCACTATGGAAGCCTTTGGCCTGCAATCATTTGCTAGTTTGTAATTTTAAATTACATACCATCAGGGCATGTTGCGGTGGGCTATTTTGTTTTAAATGTGAGCCCTAATGTCATTGCTTTGACATTAAACCCCCAACTCATGGCAACATGACAATCCTGCTTTATAACTCCAGCATCTTATTATTTTGTGCCATTTTAATGCAGTTATTGAGATGCTCTCTTACCACCTTCAGAGCCTTTTATGGCAATGGTCCTTTATGACTGACATAAAACCCAGAAGTAAAGCATCAACCTCCTCCTCTAGATCCACTCTAAACTTGATTGACAGGGTAGTGAGTTTGAAGGGTCACTTTTTGCTGCCTGTTGCTTCTCTGCTCATCTTAGGTGGGTCCCGGGTGGCCCAAAACTCTATACACTAAACCTTCACTGAACTCTGGGATACTGGTTTATAGTTTGTACACTTTTTTTCCTGATAGTTACCTGTAATAATCACCAGTGGTATATGTGTACCAATATTGGTGAATGTATAGTAGTTTAAAAACTGAACTTTGGGATGAGCAAACATTGTCCAAATACATGAAGTGTGTGTATTCTTACATGAATTGTGGGTTTGATATGTGTATTTCTTCCAGATCTGTGCCCCTAATCCAGTGTGAAACTTTGCCTCTATGGAGATTCCTCTAATAAAGGTCACTGCTGTTTTCTGTCTGTGGGCAAGGTGACTAGTCTGGTCTCTGCCCCCTCATGAAGGCAGCTTGTAGTGGGTGGACCTGCTGGGCACCTCCTGCAGCTCTGCACAGCACAGTGATGATGATATCACTGCTACCTTTAGGTAACAAGGTTAAGATAATATCTGGATTTGCAAGCAAAAAAAAAAAAAAAAAAACTTTAGTGCAAACAATGTGGATTTATATCATTTATATAATTTTTGGCTTTTAGATATATATTTAAATATCGGTTTTTGTGCCTAGAGTTCAGCTTTACTGTGCATGCAATTTTTCTTTAATGAAGGTTTGGGTGCTCAAGGTGCTAGGAGGTGGAATAATGTGCACTTTGCATAATAACCACACTATGCCTCATAGAAAGTGCTGAATTGATGTGTCCCTGTCTACAATTTTCAGTAGACAATACAATAAAGGCAAATAATTATAGCCTACCAGAATTAGAAGGAAGATGCGGCTATATGAATGTAGGTTATGTCGTTTGCTGACTTCTAATACTTTTAGTACCTTTACTTTACCGGAGAACAGATAAAAGACTGCAGCAATTAATGAATTCAGATCATAGGGTATAAAAACAGGAGTTTCAGAAGGTGCAAATGTCCTCAGGTCTCATGTGGTTGTGGACAGACCCTAAATACAGATTTTGTGTTTGCATTATATTCATGCAGCATAAACAGCTGTTTTATGTCTGTTTTTCATTACCGCTTTATTTATTTATTTTTTTTAGTTTTGTTCCTTGTGGTTTGTGTCTCTATTAGATGAATATCACTTATAATAAAAAAAGTCTCTGCCTCTGTTGCCCATAACCTCTAGCTGTTCTATGCATGCTTCACCTCCCAAAAATGTATTTGAGATTCTTTAGAATTCCTGAGGCTGCCTGGTTACCATACCATGAGTAGCCAAAAAACAACTAATAATAACTATTTATTCACCCCATATGAATGGAAAAGCCAATATCTGGGTAAACATTAGTAATTCAAGACATCGTTTTCACACTGAAAAATTCAATAAACAGCAATATCCATCAGAGGGTATTCCTACATTCACTCAAAATTTCTTTTTTTATATACCGTAAAACGGGAATTTCCAAAACAATACAAGTATAACTGACATAAGCAGAATAATACATAACACATTTCAGAGATTCCGGACCTGCATGTATGTTGGATCCTGTGTTGCTGCATATATCTCAATTTCCTGGTTCTCTGTTCTGGGGATAACACGAATACTTTGAGTCTCCATGTAGAAATGCTCCTGGCCTCCAATATGTATCTCACCTGTTGCATACAAGTAATAAAACTAGTAGTCAATATATTTAATTCAGTTTCCACTTTGTGGGGTGTATTCTAATATTACACATAGTTTGTACTGCAAGTCAAAAACTTTATTTTTCATTTTAGATAGAGTAAGGGAGGGTTATGACCCCTGTCAGTTTTTTTTCTATCTGTGTTACATTGGGGAGATTTACCTTCAGTTCATGTCCTGTAACCAAAACAGGAAATCTCTCCAAAGTGAGGGAAATTCCTGATAGTCACCAGGGTCAAAAGAACTAATGCCCCCACTAGAATACCTTCCATGTATTCCTGTTCTGATGATCACTCAAAATTTGGGATTTTCTTTTACTTTCAATGATAATGGTCAATGGGAAAAATAGAGAGGGTTAATCTCCCTAACAAAAAGGCATAGACATCAATAAAAACCTGACAAGTGTTCTAACCCATCTCCACTTTTTCCAAAACAAAAAAAATGCCTTTAATTATATTTGAAGTAAATGCATATAGAACAAGTCAGCCAACCACCATTGTTCTAGAACACAAATCCATATTTTTATTGAACTTGAATGAAATCTATGAAGAATACATGGGTTTTAATTCATAAAGTAACACTGTACTCACAATACTAGGACCAAACTGGGGGACAAAGAAAGATGTTGGTGAACATCTATCAGCAGTAATGTTCTTGCACTTTATTTCAGTTCTGTTGTTTTTTGGTTTAAAATGATATAAATTCTTTATGCAAGTACATTCTTAATTTTTATTACCTTTAAGTATGTTGTCTGCCGTTTTAAACGCCTCATCAACATCTCCATAATTTAGCCCCTTTTCTGGTTCAAAGAAAGAATTGTGTTTTATTGCATCCTGGAATAAAAGACCCCAAATACAAGATTAAAAAAAAGGTACATATTTTCTGTAGGACTGGCAATACAGTAAATACATCACTTTACATTTCAGATCAATATTTCTCAATTTAATTCATAAGTTAAAGTTTACGTAAAGCCAAACCAATTTTTTTTATTCAAGTCTTAGAGTAGTGAGATTAAAATCCTTGTCAGGATATTTATTTTGCAGTCTGTGTCCTGATAGGGAGATTTCCCTTTCCCGTGTCCTGTAGTCACAGCAGGAAATTAGAGGAAGTCATAAAGTGAGGTGAATCTCCACCTTAAACAGTTGTCACCAGAACATTTGTTCCCATACGACGACTTACACTTGCCTCTTGCTCTGGTGATAACCCAATATTCTGGATTTCCCCTCACTTTGTCCTCTGTGACAGTGATCATTGGGACAAATATGAGGGTTGGATCTCCTCAGTGGGGACATGAGCTGCATCTCAAACCTGATTGATGGTCTAACTAAAAAAATGTTTTGCCTTTACCTACCACTTTAAGAATAGCAGTCTCTGAATGTGGTCCAGTTTGGGATATGTACATATGGTTGGAGGCAGAGTGATGGTGGGAAGATAAATTCATTTAGGCAGGTAGTATTATATATTTACATTGTTTGAAGATTAGCAAAGACTAGTGATTGATACTATACATTTTAAACAGCTGTCTTCCTTAGAATATTAAAAACAAAATTTATCTGGCCACAGAGATCAGGGGATGATAGAACATGTAGGCATAATCTGTCTTTAGGTGTCTGCATAAGTGAATTCTTGAATAAACAAAAAGCAAACACTAGTCTTGTCTGAGAATTCCTGTATATGCAGTTGGGGCAGGAGAAGGCACGCAGAAACCTTCAGCATAGGCTCAGAGAATGCTTTGTAATTTCTGAATGAATGCAAAAACATTCTTTGATTGCACGAGGTGGGGTGTGCGGAGTTTGTCACCAAGCTGGATCAATGTAAAATATACCATACCCTGAATTCTTATTCAAGTTGAATGTTAAAAGACAGTATTCCATTTTGATCAGAGTCCTGTTTGCTATCCTAAAGAAGTTAAGGTGTGGTTTCTAATGAGTTACTACACATTAAATGTCACTGCTCTACTTTATACTGTGCTTCTAAATATGTGACACATAGTATGCAGTACAAAATGGTCATTAGTGTTTTAAATTTTTTTAAATGTATAATCAGTTTTGTTTTGTAAAGTCCAAGAAGAAAATTGGTGAAATGAATAGAGACAAGTAGGCATTGAATAGAACTAACCCATATTGTAAAACGTCAATTGAGCTGCATGTTTTCTAAAATCTCTCAATCAACATGAACGATTTTTAATTCGTATCCTGCTAGCATTAGTAAATAGATAGGAAGGTATATTATATTTGCTTGATTTAAACTTTTTTTTTTTTAACATCTCTTCAGTTAGTTAATTGTCTAGGCAAATGATGTCATACATCCCAGGAGTCTTCAGTTTTTCTCAGCTAAGCACATACTCCTTTCCTTCAGATATGAACTAAGGGCTGATGGATTCCAAGAAGTAAATGCTACATGAATCATCTGCCCTTACTCAAGATGGCCACGGACAGAAATGCTATGAGGGTATTTTTTAAAGTGATTTCTCAGCAAAATAAATCATGGATGGATGGGGGAGTTTGCTTTGAACATTAAAATTAATTAAGTAGTATTTTTTGGTTTGTGGTGCTCAGATGCAATGTAGTTCCACTTTAATATTTGTCAAAATATATCCATTTCATTTTTACAATTTGTTTATGGATACATTTTTAAAAAATTCACTTTTTCATTTAACAAAAAGGAGTATGGTATGTCAGATTACGTTTTGTTTTATTATTTTAAAGATTTTTTTTAAATATCCTTATTAGAAATGAAAGGGACAAAAGAACTAACTAGTTGCCAAATGAGATGAATTTTAGTGTTCATGTACAGTCCATTTGGAATTGATTGGGGTTTCACTGCAGTAGATACAGTAAATATAAGGCTTAATATTCTGTAAGCTTCTGAGATAAAGATTTTGTGCCCATGGACCAGTATATTAATACTGTATACTTATTTGCGTTTTAATCAATACTTGTAATACTGTATTGCATTCAAATAAAATATAATGTTGTCTGTACTTAAAATGCTGTAGAAAACCTCCTACCTCTATAGTGAGTATCACAGGTTCTATATCTTCATAGATGATCTTCACCTTTTTAGCTGCTTTTTTGGCATGCTCCGGTGTATCCGCAACCACTGCACAAACTATGTAACCAACACACAGGACCTTGAAATGATGACAGGCAAGTTATTTTGCTTCCTTTAGGCAGCCTTATGAAAAGGAGGTATCTAGTCATTTTTAACATTTATTTCAGAAACAAAATTAAAAGAGGTTAACTTCAAAAGTACTGTATATCTACATTTGATGGAATATGGAAGGGATAACAACCAAGTTAGTTTTTTTTATTGCCTGCTGGGGAGATTCTATCTGTCCTTGCTACCACCATGTTTTAACCATTCTCTACAGTATGTATAACAAAAAAAAAAAAAATGCTTTAGATATACAGTACTAGATATACTTTATTGTAATCTGTATACTGTGCATTACTGTATCAAAGGTTAATGTTTTCTATTTATACACTGTATATGAGGGCAGCTGTTTTGCTTACGGGTAATGATTGACAGCCAGAAATCATGTGACCTAGTTAGTCTATGCTGGGAGCTCCAGAACAGCAATTTTTTTTTTTTTCTTCATGGCTCCTTAAGAACTATTGACAATATGACCCCAAAGGGAGTATTTTCAACAATTTGGCTGACACAATCCAATTTGGGCTTATACACACTCTAATCAAGATCATCATCCCATTTACACACATATCTAAAACTGTTGGGAGTGAAGGTACAATTCAAATACATAAAGTATTTTTCTTTTTTCAGCTATATGGTTTATTTTGTAGCTCATTCTAACATGACTCCCAGATTTGTTTGGCTTTATAAAGCTTTTGACTTATAGTATCAACAAACTATATTGTATATACGAAGTTGACCTTTTGTAGAGGTTTAGGCTGAATGACATATCACTTAAAGCCACAGCAATTAAAACATGACATAATGGTGATGCAATGGTGGCAGCACTGTAGTAAGGTCTAGATCACGAGTATCTACTACATAACTGCTGTTGGAAGAATTTTAATCAAAGCTATGATACATTCCTCCCAACTTTCACTTATATACTGTACCTCATCACCTGCCATTAACCTGTCAGGCCATTCATAATAAGAAAATTCATTTTCTCCTGGAACATCTTTTGCAGTGATAACATCACAAACTCCTTGCATGCTTAGTGCTTCAGTTGGATCCAAAGATCTGAAAAAAAAAAAAAAAAAAAATTTAGTAGTAGTAACTAATGTTCTATTATTATTAGTATGCTCAGGATTTATATAACACCAACAGGTTGCACGGCACTTTACAAAATAAGGGAAGCAATACAGCTACAATGCAATTCAATGCAGGAGGCGCTGCTCCTGGGAGCTTACCATCTAAAAAAGGGAGGGGCAAGTTGACAGAATATGTAAAAGTAATTTTTTTTGGAGGAGACAAAATAGGCTTCCCAAGAGATATTAGATTTTACAGATTGCCTGAAGGTGGACAGAGTAGGGGATAGCTGGACAGCTTGAGAGTTCCAGAGGAAGGAAGAGATTCTGAAGGAGAGCACGGGAAGAGGTGATTAGGGGGAATAGAGAGCAGGAGGTCTTGGTGGTAGCAGAGAAGACATTTTGAGATAAGGTTGGTGTTAAAGCCAGGGGTAGAGTTGTGGATAACTTTGTATGCTGTTAGTATTTTGAATTTTATTTGTTAGGTGCAAAAGCAAGTGTATCATTTGTAAGGATAGCTTGTTACCTATCAGATAAAGTATATTGAATAATACTATAATGTACAGGGGCAGACTGACAACTCATGGGGCCCCCAGGCAATAGGGCAGGGGTCTGCAACCTTTAAGACATAAAGAGCCACTTGGACCCGTTTCCGAGAGGGAAAAAAAGACTGGGAGCCGCAAAACCATTGCAACATTTAAAACAAATCCGACACTGCATATATTGCAAAAAGCGCTCTGGTCATGAAGGGGGTTTAAGGGCCCAGTAAGCAAAGGGTTAATCAGGGCCACAGTGTATCGTCATAATCACAATCATAGCCTTAGGTCAGTGGTGGGCAACCTTTTTTTTCAACTGAGCCAAATCTCGCCAAAACCACGATTGAAATTTATTTTGAGAGCCACATTTTTAAAACTGAAAATACATCCCCCATATAGTAATTCATCCCCCCCATATATAGTAATTCATCCCCATAGTAATTCATCCCCCATATAGTAATTCATCCCCCATATAGTAATTCATCCCCCAATTCATCCCCCATAGTAATTCATCCCCCATATATAAATTCATCCCCCATATAGTCATCTCCCATATAGTAATTCCCCCCCATATTAAGTCCCCAAGTCCCCCGTGTCAATTCACTTAGCTTTGCTCCGCGCGTTCCTCTCGCCGTGTTCCCGCGCCGTTCCAGTGTAGCATGAAAATCTGTCTCCTATGGAGGATCTGTCCCCCTCGACGTATCTGCGCATGTGCCAGTTTCAGGCATTCGCAGCCGATCGGCGATCTCCAGCACATGCGCAGATACGTCGAGGGGAACAGATCCTCATAGGAGACAGATTTTCATGCTACACCGGTCTTCAGGGCGGACTGTGAGAGGGGCCTAGCGGGAGCCTAGCTCCGCGGGCCGGATTAAAAGGTCCGCCGGGCCGTAGTTTGCCCATTGCCTGTCACCTGGTGGGCAGTGTGCTCCGGAGCCGCAGCCAATGTGAAAAAGAGCCGCATGCGGCTCTGGAGCCGCGGGTTGCCGACACCCGCAATAGGGGATCATGGGGCCCCCTGTGTCCTTGCCCAAACTCAAACCACACCCCAAAAAAGCCTATGGAAGGTACCAGGGGCATCTCATGGGGCCCCCTACTGACCCCGGGCCCTCAGGCAGTGCACGAGTGCTCGAGTGGTCAGTCCTCCCCTGTATATGTACAGTATACAGCAGGTTTTCTGATCAGTGCCAAACTATTATTGAAAGGTTTGCTTTTGCCTTGTTGTTCTCACATGAATGAAAATTAACCACTGCCTGTCCGGCCCATGTATATAAACGGCTGGACGGGAGCAGTGCAGGAGCGGGTGGCAGTTTATAAACATCCTCCTGCTTCCCTGCCTGTGCGTGCTCCCTAGGAGCGCCCCGATCCAGTGCCCACTGTGTCCAGAAGGACACAGCGGAACTCCGATCGCTGTATGGGACCTCTGTGTGAGGTCCCGATCACATGCAGAGTAGTAAGCAAGATGTCACTTCGGACATCATTGCTTACTACTTGTGAAATCTGAGAATGACCACAGAGATCACATGGTAAAAGGCTATTCACAACAGCCTTGTACTATGTGAAAAGCTGTGACAAATCACAGCTGTCACAGTATTTCTCAATGGCTGCAATAATGCATCCAGAGAGAAGGAGAAATGATTGCTTTTACAGCCTTTATGGGTCTAAAAGCAATCAGTGTAAAAAAAAAAAAAAAAAATAATCACCCCCCCCCCACAAGTAGTACAGTGTCACTGTGGTGACACTGTACTGCTAGGGTGACAATATGTTAAAAAAAAATAAATATAAAAAAAATAAAATTAAAATGTAAAAAATTTTTTAAAAAATTTCTGGTTATAAACTAATTTGGGTTTTTTTTTTACTAAAAAGATAGCTGAACACATTTTGGGCAAGATTTACGAAGAAAGATTATTTATTTGCAAAATGTTATAAAAAAAGCACTTTTTTTCAAAAATGTTTGGACTTTTTCATTTATATAGAAAAAAAATAAAAATCCCAATGGTGAATAAATACCACACCAAAGTAAAGTTTTATCTGTGTCAAAAAATGCTAAAAAATTCCTATGGGTACAGTGTTGCATGACCGCGCAATTTCCATTCAAAGCGTGATAGCACTGAAAGCTGAAAATTGGCCTGGACAGGAAGGGGGTGAAAGTGTCCAGACTTGAAGTGGTTAAAGTATATTTTCTGCAAGTACATGTTTTCATTTGTTATTGTTCTAAATCTAGAGATATATAGACTGGCCACTAGTAGGAGCTCCATGGCTCAGAGCGATTACTCTAAAAGTTGCTTCATAGCTGTTGTGATAAGGTATCATCCATATAGAGCAGGGGTCTGCAACCTTTAAGACATAAAGAGCCACCTGGACCCGTTTCCGAGAGGAAAAAAAAGACTGGGAGCCGCAAAACCATTGCAACATTTAAAACAAATCCGACACTGCATATATTGCAAAAAGCGCTCTGGTCATGAAGGGGGTTTAAGGGCCCAGTAAGCAAAGGGTTAATCAGGGCCAGTGTATCGTCAATCACAATCATAGCCTTAGGTCAGTGGTGGGCAACCTTTTTTTTCAACTGAGCCAAATCTCGCCAAAACCACGATTAAAATTTATTTTGAGAGCCACATTTTTAAAACTGAAAATACATCCCCCATATATTAATTCATCCCCCATATAGTAATTCCCCCATCATCCCCATAGTAATTCATCCCCCATATAGTAATTCATCCCCCATATAGTAATTCATCCCCCATAGTAATTCATCCCCCATATAGTAATTCAGTAATAATTCATCCCCCATAGTAATCCCCCATAGTATTCATCCCCCACATAGTAATTCATCCCCCATAGTAATTAATCCCCCATATAGTAATTCATCCCCCATATAGTAATTCATCCCCCCTATAGTAATTCATTCCCCATATTGTGTCAATTCACTTACCTTTGCTCCGCGCGTTCCTCTCGCCGTGTTCCCGCGCCGTTCCGGTCTTCAGGGCGGACTGTGAGATGAGAGGAGTTCGTCACGTTGCCCCGCCTACATCCTGACATCCTGACAGCCAATGTTTGCCACGCTCCGCGGGCCGGATTAAAAGGTCCGCCGGGCCGTAGTTTGCCCATTGCTGGGCTAGCTGCAGAGTCCTGACTTTTGGGGCGGCTGCCCGAGAGGAGGGAGGGGAGCGGGCGCCCGGCACACAGAAGAGCCGCGGCTTGCCGACCACTGAGCTACGGCAACCCTATTGCCTGTCACCTGGTGGGCAGTGTGCTCCGGAGCCGCAGCAAAGGTGAAAAAGAGCCGCATGCGGCTTGGAGCCGCGGGTTGCCGACACCCGATATAGAGAGTACATTGTTCAATGAGTCGACTGTCTTATATTGTGCGATGGAACAGTGAAGCACAACCATTATGTAACATGCCCAAGCAGAAGCAGAGGCTGTGTACGTAATTGGCAATAATGCTGCTCCCATGTAACACCACCAGTCCAGGTTTTCTATTCTGGCAGAAACCACCTGTGAGTAAAAGAGGGAGAAAAGGAGGGTATATACCTATATGGAGCGCGCCAATCAATAATTGTTTACAGAGTGAGGGGAGTGTGTACAGATGTAAAGGCTGAGGGAATTTAGTGAGAATGAAGTAAGACAGAATTTGGAGTAGCTGTGTATGATAACCATTCAGCTTCAAGCTTTCATTTTCAAAGCATACCTGAACAAATAGAAGTTAGAAGCTGATTGGTTGGCTATGCATATCTGCTCCAAATTGTGTCTGCTCCAGTTTTAGTAAACCCCTGTGTGTGTGAAGCCAAAAGAACTGGCGGAACATTTATGTTAACTGGAGTTGCACTGTGGTTATCTGTGGGCAGAAACTTTGCTTAACTGATATTGCTAATAAATAAATGTTGGCATGACTGCCAGGAAAATTGCACATTTACACATACAGTAAAGGAAGTTTCACAAAAAAGCTTAATTGCTATCAACATACAGTTATATCCAACATTCATTTGCTGTTGAAGTTGCCATTTCAAACAAGCCATAGCAAACAGACATACACATCTTTCCATGTGGATGATCATATCATGTAAAATTCGAATTACTGACATGATTCTTGCATGTGCTCTAGGACTAGTCACCAAAACCAAAAAAAGCTCTCCGTCGATAAAGGGCATATCATCACAGTATACTGCTTCACCGGACACTTGCATCATGGCTGTGCGGTGCGTGATGGGACGGCCAACAGGATCCTGAGGAGGCTGATGAACAGTTTTGTCCTAGATAGAACATAAAACTAGGTGTGTACATTTTTTTTTTTTTTACACATGCAGTGTTTTAGCAACAAAGACAAAAAAAACCCCCAAAAAAACAAACAACCACAGCAAAAAGTAATCGTAATTGCCAGTATACTGACTTGATATCTCTGCATAGTCTTCAGTATTGTGTCCTGGTTATTGGCATTTTTAACAATGTTGTTCAGTGATATTCCCATAGGATGGTTATAACCATTCACATTTAGCTGTGGGAAAAAAAGGAGCCCATATACAAGTTAAGATAAGTAAACTACATAAACATTTTACTTTGCATGCGTCAGATATTGGAATATTGAAAAGTTACCCATTTACAATTTTTTAGCTCTTAAAGAGAAACTTCACATCCCTTCTATTTATTCCTCCCTTACTTGTTATGCTAGGTTCTTTCAAAAAATACTTACGTACCCAGTGGAACCAGAGTTGTCCTGCAGCGATCTGCTGTTCAGATATCGAAGCCTGTGTTCCATGCCGCCATCTTGGCCTCCTCTGTCAGTTGCCTCTTTTGGGATGGGGAAATGCAGCTCCGCCCCCCTGGCCTCTCTGAATGAGCTCTCGCAGCTTTCTAGAATACACTACGGGAGTATCCCAGGGGGCATTGGGAGCAGGGCATAATGTTTTTGCCTAAGTAAGAATGGTAGCTGGGGGCAGAGCTGCAAACAAACTCAAGGAAAAAAAAAATAAATTGCAGAGAGAAGAACTGAGGGACATGTATGTAAAGTCAAGTTCTGGGGTGAAGTTCTGTTTTAAGTAGCTCCTAAGTGAGAGTGAATATACTTATTTCTAATACCCGTCTTGTTAAGTATGAATATATTTCAAAATAATTCCTTATCCTTTTAGACAAAAACTGAAATTACTTACAGTTGTGTTCTCCACTGGTTCTCAAGCAGTGGTACATATAGAGGTAAGCCTGACTAAATTAATCATAATTTAAAAATAATTAGTCACGGTTAAATTGAGTTGTGGAACACCTGAAGCTATTGAAGGGTCCAGGGTGGTCTTTTTTAATGTGAACTTGCACTTTATCTTTACATACTTTGAACCTAACACTTTGGTTTGAGTATTCAGGGTTCAAAAGGTTACCTGAAGTTTAGCAATGGTTTGTCTCCTCTTTTGTATGTACTAACAACATAAAAGTATTTTAGATTCAGTAACCTCCACAACACCATATCCTGAATATTTTTGAAGCACACTTCGCACCATAAATACTGGAATTTTTTTTTTTTTTTTAAAACAACCCTCTCATTAAAAAAAATAAAATAAAAAAAAAAATAAAGGGAAGAAGGAGTACTTACAAGGAAGCAAGTACATTCTTAACTCTCCTGTGTGTGGTTTGAAACACAGCTACCATTCAGAGAATTACCCTGGAGCAGTGTTCTCCAAAAGGACTGTCAGTTTCCCATGTCCCCTGCTGTGCTCTCCCTGACTTCTATGGTCACTACTGTATCCTGTATTTGTCTAGGAGTCAGTAGGAGGATACCAGCAGTACATATTTCATGTTAAAGGGGTACTTTTTCTTGGAAGCAAATTGAAAAGAATATAAACTAGCTATATGTACCTTTAAGCTACAACACTTACCTCTAATTTTAGAGTATATAGCACCTCCAAATAAAACTTGAACAGAAAACTGACAGTCAGAGTTCTCCTATATTCCACCTTTCCACCAGGAGCCGCAGGATCAAGAGAAATCTCATCCAGAACCATTCTGCAAGCTTCACCCAATGCCTCCTCATTCCACTGCCTGGTCAGAACAGCAGGTACCATAACAGTCACCATCATTAATCACCAACCATTGCTATATTTATGTGCTCATCATAATCCACTTCTAGTTAGGCAACTTATGGTTCATTTTGATTGCCAGTTATTCTAACATTTCAAGTGTGGCATCACTTGTAAATGTTAAACATTTCAGATATTGATATTAAAATGGATTGAAAGGAGTGGGGAAGAGGCGGTTGTTTCAAATTTCGAGATTGGTTTTAAAGTATGTAATTAGAAAGCTAGATTCCAAGACATAATTGTATGGTGGAACAGCACATAAAATATGACCATGTACAGCCACTATGAATTCCATAATAGAAAAGTTACAGAAGAAAAAAAAAAAAAGGGAACAGCGAACGGCTGTTTAGAATGGAAGAATAAATAATTAAAAAAAACAGTTTGGACCATACCTATCATTCTATAATGATAGGTATGGGGTCTAAAACCAATGTAAAACTGAAAATGAAATTATTTAACAATTACAGAAGATTTTTTATATCTGTATTATGTATTTTCAACCAGTTGCCCAAGATTTAAAACACTTGGTAAGGATTGTGTCTTTGGCAGCATATGGACTTCGGTTTGCTGTAAATGAGGCGATTGCCAACAAGTGGTTGAGCCTGCCAGAAACAGATTTAAATTGCTCATGAAACTCTAGGGTCAGTGGATTCTGGTTTTCTGTGGATTGCCTCCCTACACTGCGTCAATGGACCATCTTTCTCAGGGCCCCTGCGCTGCATCGTAAGCTTAACTGGCAGTATTCAGTAATACAAACCTTCCAATTAGTGCATCTCTAGTCTTCTTTGCCCGGACTGTGCATTTACCGACACCTCCAAAGTAAAGATTTACATCTTCAATGACATCTGAATTCTCTTGGAAAAGAACTTGCATTCCTGCCACTACTATAGCCACGGAGTTTACCTTTCTTTGTGCCTGTCTGAAGGCGGACACAATCTCCCACTGCAGAAAGAAGACCAAAATATTATTTTAAGATATGTAGTTAACTCTCCCCTCATGACCAATAACTAATTGGCCATGGTTATTATTTTGATTGTGTCATTACTACCTCATATGATAAAGCATTTTACAGTTTAAATACTCCTAGGTGTAGCACCTTCCTGACCCGAGAGCATGGTGGTACCTCCACAAACAAGGTGGGCTGACATTTCACCTCAGGGATAGATCACTTAGGCATTAGTGAGACATGTAGACAGATGGGTGTCAGTTACTTTTAGACAAAAGCAAAAAGGGATTTTTTTTACGCACAGTCCATGGAAGTGAGAGTTCGGGTTATAGATGCTCACGAGTTCAACAAAACTCTGTCACTTCATATTACTCCACAGGAAAATTACCTTTCAGCCGAGACCGACACTCCTGTGTTAGAACTCTTTAGCAGACTTTGCCAGTAGCAACTGCATTCTTCTAGGAAAATCAACAGGCACTCAATCCTTGGTCCCTTCTCTTCCAGGAGAGTCAACCAGCCCCCTTTGGACTCCATCTTGCATTCAGAGAAGGACAGCTTCAAATCCAGTTGCTTTCAGGCCCAAGCACAAGGCCTAGTCACTGGCTGTACTCTTTCGGACTCTTTTACAGCCTGATGAGGACTGTAAGAAATTAACAAAAGGCCTTTTAGGTCAGGCTAAATATCCTCTGGAGTATTAAACACCCGTGTGCCTTTTTCTCAAAGAAGTTCTCCCCAGCACAGACAAATTATTCCATATGAAGGTTGCAAACTTCTTGCTGTCAAATTAGCCCTAGAAGAACGGCGGTACCTTCTGGAAGGTTCACCTCATCGGATCACTGTATACGCAGATCATAAAAATTTGAAGTTCCTCCATTATGCCTGCTTCTTCAATCCCCAACAGGCTCGCTGGTCTTCTCACTTTTTGATTTTGTCATCACCTTAAAACTGAAAAGGCCAGCTCCAGGGAAGATATACCATCACACTCCTTTGACTCACATAATTCTGAGACCTCTGGGGAACCAGAGTTTATAATTCCTTCCACCCAAGTTCTTGCTTTCACCTTGGTTCAGGACTCTATCCCACCAGGGAATACTTTTGTGCCAGCAAATTCTAGGATGAAGTGATTACATTGGGCTCATGACTCCATGAGCCATCCAGGTATCAACAGGACCCTAATATTCCTCTCTCCTTACTGGTGGCTGGACCTATGCAATGATGTCAAGGACTTTGTGACAGCTTGTCTGGTCTTTGTCTGTATCAAGTCTCCTAACCAAGCTTTGGCTGGCCCTCTTCTCCCATTGCCTATCCTCGAGGAGCCGTGGTGCCACATTGCTATGGTTTTTATAACTGACTTTCCCTCGTCTGAGGACTGTACTGTAGTGTGGGTAGACAGATTTTCTAAAATGGCGCACTTTGTACCTTTCTCTTCACTACGATCTGCAGCAGATCTGGCGCTGGTTTCATTCATGAGATTTTTAAACTCCACGGGATGCCTTTAAGTATAGTTTGACCGCTGGGTTCAATTTACTTTCAGATTCTGGAGGGCTCTTTGCCCATTGGACTGTGGATGGTAGGCAGAAGAAAACTACAGTGATACTTCCAAGGATTTACAGTCTGAAAGAACCAACCAGTCTGGATCAGTTCCTTTGGTTCTTTGTCTAAGTTCACCAAGATGATTGGGTTGCCCTTCTGTGAGATAGAGATTAGAGATAGAGGGATCATTCTCTCCTGGAATCTCTTCCTAGCTTGCTGCAGTAGGTTACCTTGATTCCCAGTATCCTGTGCATACCCAGTGTGCCATTTGGTTTTGCCCACACGGGTTAGAACACCGCAACTTGGGGGCTGCTATGCAGCACAACATCCAAAGTGGCTCTGGTGAAGACCGGGTGGCGCCTTAGATCCTGCGAGTCTGATACACCACCATTTGTGTGCGGTCACACTGCTCCTGCATCTACAAGGACTGGTACACACCCACTAGATCTTGAGTTTACAGTCCCAGGTAGTCTTACCCTCTAATCGTGACAGCAAGGATGGGAAAACAGATGCAGGGACAACAAATTCAGCTTTGGCTGAGACATCTCATGATGATGAAGAGGCAGTTAGGTTGAGAAACTACATCTGGGGGATGATGACACAACAGAGGAGGCGGGTAATTGAAGCTTCTATATCTAACTCCACC